CAATTCTGAGGGAGGGGGTGTGTGTGGTGGGAAACTAGCTTCTCTCTTTTTTGTAGAACCAAAAATAATCTGTGGACAATCCGTCAAGGGTTCTGCTTTGAGCCAGTGTATTTTCAAAAAAAGCTGCTTCAAACCTGGTCCTATATTTCTCTGCCTCTAGTTTCAGAGGCAGAAAAATATACGACCGTATTATTAATTTATATTTCCTTATTCCCCAAACTCTTCAAGTCTTGTGCTTTCCAGAGATTGAGTTCCCAATAATTCTTATTTTGCTTCTGCTTTGAATTTTAAAAAATTTCCAAGCTTCACTTTGATGCAAATATTTATTTTCCCACGGGTGTCAAAAGGTTTTATAACACACACCTGCCACAACATGTATTGGTTTTTAGGGATTTATTTTACAAACTGGAGTTGACGAATGGTATGCGTCAGGCCTGATAACTATTTGACTTCATTAATATTCAAGATCTATTACCTTTGTTTTGCTTTCTTGGATGACTGTATCTCCTGACTCAGAGATGGACAGTTGCCTACAAACATCCGGTAACAAGGTGACAATAGAAATAAAGTTTAATCTCAGTGGATTAAGAGATATATTAAAGTAGACTATAGAGTAAGATGTTGAATGACTTTAAATGCCTGAAGATTTGTTTCTGGAACTATGATTCTATCATTTACTTACTAATTTGTTTTCAGTCTGCTAAAAATGTGTTCCTCCACGAATTCTAAAGTCTTTAGGGTGAAGTGTGAGGATGTCTGCAACTTTCCTGTGTTCAGGGGAAAAATATGTATGCATATATATAAAAATATGTATATATAAAAATATGTAGGTGTATATATGTACATATGTATATGAGTGTGTGTGTAGATATATATATAGAGAGAGAGATAGGACAGAGAGGGAGAGACAGAGAAAGGGCATAAAGCAAAATGTTAATAATTAGTGAATCGCGGTGAAATACATACTGGTGTTTTACCATTCTCTCACCCTCCTAGTCTGTTGGAACTTTTCAGATTTAAATGAGAAGGTGAAGCCAACAGCTAGATACTCTTAGGCTCTGTGTCCCATCTGTGATCAGGAGGCTGAGCCCGGAGAGCTGGGCTCAGTGTGGTGCTAACAAGTCTTTCCACCTTACTGTGTTCTTTCTCCTTCTCGAACTCTTCGCACATTGTTGGTCCTTTCCTTATGCCTGGACCTGCTTTTCTTCTCATTCCTTGGTTTTCAAACACTGGGTGTAGTAAAACATGGTTGTGTGACCAAAAAAAAAAAAAAAAAAAGTCACTCAAATTCTTGGAACCAGCTTGGAACCAGAAATTTAAAATTTCTTTCTTCCAGTAAGGAGGTCAACTCAGATTCAAGCAGAAATTCAAATTGTCTGTAATTTAAAGATACATTGAAAGAAAGTAGGGCAGGAGAGGCAAGTTTTGCTCCAAGCCTCGGCAGAACAAATTCTCTTTCCTTCGGGCCTGCCAAAGACTTAGTACTTCCCACACTATGGCAATTTTGGTTCTGACCTTTTCCTGGGGTTTTGATGATTGAAAATGATCCGTGTTTGTGGTTTAATTGCCTGAAGCCACTTCCTGAAGAGGTCACAGTGAAGCAGCTATTTTGCCGAAGTCCTCAGAGGGAAACCAACACAATTCCCTTGGCTGTAGGGGTCCCCGAGGTGGGGGAGGGGTTGGGGAGGGCCAAGAGGGGGTAGGGAATGGCTGTTGCTTGAGGAGGACATGTTAGGATTTCGTTCCGCTGGAACAGGGTCCTTGTTGAAACATCTCCACTTCTCGCCCTGACCACACGTGCCATTTTGAGAAGAGTGTTAATGTCCAAGGCGCTTTCAACACCTGAAAAAGAAAGTGAGGGGCTTAGATTTCTCTAGGACCCCTTCTGCTCTGTAGCTCTGTGAAGCCTCAGCTAACCACCACCCCTGCATGGACACAGCCTGACTTTCTGGTGTCAAAATAATTTTAAACTTGGTTACAAACCACATAATTCAAGGCTAAGCCTGCACCTGTCTTGCGGGGTGCTCCCCTCTGAAGGGAGGCTGCTCAGCTCCCCCTGCCTTTGAGTTGAAATGACTTCTTAGCGTCAATCTTCAGAACTGCTTGAAACTGTTGAGTCCGCAGTATCACTGCGGACTGGTGACAGCAGGGCTCCTTCCCTGGGGTCCTTTTCATAAACTTTGGAAAGTTTGCATATTGGGATTAGGTTTGGCTGTGTATCACAGGAAGCCTATAGTCTAGGATGGGAGAGCAATTCCACGAAGCCAAGCCACCGAGGACTCATGCTCCTGTCTTGTCGCCCCAGCACTGTCAGCAAGTGGCCTGTGCCTTGTGGCCCAACATGGTGGCTGCAATCCACCCACCACGTCCATACTGAGCCAGCAGAAAGGAAGACCAGTGGAGACTTTGAAGTCTTTTGAGGAGACTTTTAAGTCAACTTCCCAGGAGGAGCCTAGTTTTCCACCTACGTTTTATTGGCCTAAATTCTGTCACGTGGCCACTTCTAGTTGCAAAGGGGGTTGGGAAATGTAGTCTTTGTGTGGGCTAGTGCTGTGCTTCGTTGAGTCAGGGCTTCTATAATCCATCCTCTCATATCCAGGGTGGATATTAGAGGAAGAAACTAGCAGCATCTGTCATAGAAACTATATTTTTGAAGAGTAAGGGCTTTGGAATCAGTAGTCCTGGGTTTAAACTTCAATTCCTGCTTACAAGCTGTAAGATATTAGTCAAGCTACATAACCTCCTTAATCTCTTCTATTATATGATCTGTCAGATTGGCATGATATTCACATCATGGGGGTAAAATGAGAGAATAGATGCTCAGTATTCAGCTCAGTAGCTGTCACTGTTACATGTGTGCCTGTGTCACCATCTTTGACTTCATTCACTTATTCGGATATGTGGTATTGGTTATACATGTGTATTTGATTCCAACTTCTTTCATATACTTTCTAGAGAACCAGTGAGTCTGGCTGGGACCAGTACATCTGGGGACGTGAGACGCTAATGTGGGTGCAGAGGACAAAGCAACTTGGTCAATGTCGATGTGACGTTTATGCTAATCAAGTGGCCTGGTTAACCTGAGGCTGGGGTTAGTGGTTCAAGTTACAGGATATATTTGTGTTTCAGAAACATGTGAAGGATAGGACCATGCAGAAGCAGGAAGAGTTTAGGGGAAACAGCCCTGGGGCAGACACCCAGCTAAGGGGAAAATCTCGGGTCATTCACTACCCGCTCCGGCTCCTCATCACCAGAGGGGGAGTTCAGACTGCAACTCTGAGCTCATGCCTTCTGATGAGCAAGGGCTTCTAGCATGCAAGGACTACTTCCTCAGTTTGCCAACCCTGCCCTGGCCATTTAAGGGCCATCTGGGTTTACTGTGAGACAGAATAGTATCTGTTCCAAGAACAGGGAACAAGTTAAACTTTAAGGAAATGGGGGAGGGGTGGTGGGAGGGAATTTTTTTTTTTTTCCTGGACTCACTCATCACTTCCAATTCCCTGCTAGGTTTCTGATCATAAATATTCCTTGGTATTTTCTGGGACTGGGTATCTTGTAGGCCTTGAGGGCTATGAACAAGACTGGGCTTCTCTTTTCAAGACTGTCCCCACCCATGGGGAGCCAGAGAAGAAACAGTCATGGTAGGTGTCTTGGTTGCTCCCACGTGTTTCCCCTCCGGACGGAACTTGGAATTCCTCCCACTGGAGGTGGGGGTAATTTCCCCACCCCACTGATGGCGGCTCTGGCCACGTGACTTGCTTTGGCCAGTGGAACGTGGGGCAGACGGGAGTGAGCTAGTTCTGGGCAAGGCCTTGAGTGCTCTTGCCCACATTGCTTGCGTTTTTGCCATCGCAGGAGAGGATCATCTCCCAGGCAGTCATAGGTCCAGGGACGATGAGAGACACATGGAGCCAACTTAGATCCCACCCAAAGCCTGGAGCCAAGCCTAACCCAGCCTGATCAAGGTCAGATCCACAGACTTGTGAGCCAGAATCATTTTACACCATTGGCATGATCGCCTTGGCGATTGTTTGACGCATTTCAGTGTTGAGTGTTGAGGTGGATTGCTGGCAGTATTGTTGGGACACTGGGGAGCTAATACAACAGGTAATTACGATATGGTGTGAGAACTGCAGGGAGATACAGAGGCACCTGGTGCTCTGGTCTCGGGGAGGTATGTGGCCAGGAGTGCTTCATGAACTTGTGTAACCTATTCACTATTTGGACCTTATTTCTCTCCCTGCCCCCACCAGCATGCTGTAGACCAGAGAGTCAGTGGTATATATAATATATATAATGCAACAGTGTATGTCGGAATTGTATGTAAAGTAAGAGCTAATCCATAAAAACAATAGAAAAAGTTCTCCAACAAGTAAAATATGAGGACCTTTTGACTTCTAGTGATTAAATCACTCATTCATTCATTCAACAAATAGAAGTTAGGGATATAGCTGTGAGTAAAATAAAGTAGGATCTTTGAGCCCATGAGCTGGCCTTCCAGAGGGAGGAGACACGGTTGATGGTGAATGCCGTAGAGAGCAATAGTGTAGAAAAGAAAAATGTGGAGCATTGATCAATGGCAGAAGGGTGGTGCAGTTTTACACAGGAATGTCAGGGAAGACCTCACCACGAGTGATGCTTGAGTAGAGACCTGAAGGAGGAGAGAACCTGAGCAGTGGCCATAGCTGAGGAAAGAGCATCTTAGCACAGGGCAGGGCATGCTAAGGCACACTTCAGGAGAGACACTTAGAATATGGAACACCTATTCCAAGACACCTTGTAAGTACTCTGGGGATTTGTTATTAGGTGTGCTCAGTGAATATAGCTATTGAGGAGCAACTCCAAAACTTCGGCATTTTTCTTGTTAAAAAGTCTAAAGTCTAGGCAAAAAGTTTCTATCATCAGGTGAAGCCTCTAGAACCTGCTTCTGGGACCGTCTTCAGGGTGTTGTCTCTCTGGCTGTGTGTGGCTCCTGGTGACCCCTCTGTCTCCTCCTATAGGCTGCGGAGTGCTGGACCTGAGAGCTCCACCTCCTGTGTCCTCCAGAAGTTGCCAGAAAAAATGTTCATCTTTTACATGTTGGTAATGAGCGTTTCAGCCTTCACCATTCCGCCTGAGGAACACACAGGTAAGAAGTGAGTCTTGGGGCGCCTGGGTGGCACAGATGGTTAAGCGTCTGCCTTCGGCTCAGGCCATGATCTTGGGGTCCTGGGATGGAGCCCCACACTGGGCTCCTGGCTCAGCAGGGAGCCTGCTTCTCCCTCTCCCTTGGCCTCTCCCCCCCCTGCTCATGCTCTCTCTCTCTCTCTGTATCTCTGTGTCTCAAATGAATAAATACAGTCTTAAAAAAAAATCTCTTCTCAGCTGAAGAGAGCTTGCCTGCAGCTTCTCTGGGGAAAGTAGTTGTTTATCTAGTAAAGTTGGTTGTTTTCAAAGAGCAAGGTGGGGCAGATCCTTCCTCCTAACCATCTCCTCTGTTGCACGGAGCTTGCTCTGGGTATCAGTCATTCCTGCCAAAGAGTGAGTCAAGGAAGTGGTGCTTTTGCCCTCAATAAAAGATGCTTTTAGATTTTAACCACATGTCTTGTCACAACTAAGCTCTTTTTCTGTCTGAACTCAGCCAAGATCTGCTTTTAATGTTAAGGAGTCAACAAGTGAAGAATATGACCCAACTTTTTAATCATTTTTTGTCATCCTGTGAACCGGATTTAACTTTTCCCCCAAAATTTAAATTGGAATGGACAGAAGCCCTAAAGTTGTTTTTGGGAATTTTGAAGTCATTATAACCCCAGGGTGCAGGTCACTTGTTAGGGGCACTTGGCTTCTTCAGATGTGCCCATCAAAGGAGGTTTTGGACCCAAAGCTTGACTGTGGTCTCCCTGTCCTTTAGTGGCTGCCGAAAACTGCAAATTTCTTGGCAAGCATTTCAAAACCGACTTCAGGGTAGAAGGGGAGCCTGTGGTCCTGAGGTGCCCCCAGGCGCAGCTCTGGTTGTGGGCGTCTGTCAGCCCCTATGTCAACGTGACGTGGCGTAGAAACGATTCTACTGGAAAGGTCCCCGGGGAAGAAGAGACGCGAATGTGGATCCAGGATGGTGCTCTCTGGATCTTGCCAGCCTTGCAGGAGGACTCAGGCACCTACATCTGCACTATCAGGTAAGCCCCCACAACACCCCGGGACTAGGGTAGGAATGGGTCTCCTTCCAGAAGGGCTTCTGCACGGTTTTTCAGTGATAATCTGGATTTCAAAATCCAGTGCATAGGTGAGAAGCTACCTTTAGTCCTCTTCACAGTTCCTGAATACCTCCTACCCGAGAGCCTTCCCCAGATGCCGTCATGGCTCTTTCTCTCCCTTCATTGAAGTCTTTGCTCAAACGTCACCTCTTTGGAGAGGACTTCCCTAGCTCCTTTACCTAAACCAGTACTCCTGACACACTCTGTCTTTCCCCTGCTGGTATTTTTCCTCACCTGACACACTCATGTGTTTACATATTTAATGTTGTCTACCCCTTTAGAATGTAAACTCTAGGCCGACAGGGACTTGATCCATTTTGTTCATGCCTGCGTCCACATGGACAGAAGAAATCGATGTAGAACACTGGATGAGACTTTAGGAATGAGTTCATCCAACTGCTTATTGTACGTGTGAGGGGACGGAGCTAACTTATAAAGTGTTCCCAGGTGGTAGGTGTGGAGCTGAGACTGGAACCCACAGCCCCTGATGTGGGGTGTAGCCCCCTTCCTCTTTGTCCTGTTGCTTTTTGTTTTTTTAATTGTGGTAACATATGCATAACATCAGAATTATCATCTTTATCCCCTTTTATACGTACAATTCCGTGTGTTAAACACATTCACATTATTGTGCAACCATCACCACCGTCCGTCTCCAAAACTCTTCATCTTCTCACACTGCAGCTCTGTGCCCGTGAAGTTAACCATGAATTCCTCTCTCCGCCTCCCCCCATGGGGGCTCCCCTCCTGGCAGCCCCAATCTATTGTCTGCCTCTGTGAATTTGACTGCTCTAAGTACCTCATAGGAGTGGAGTCAGGCAGTATTTGTCCTTTGGTGACTGGCTTCTCTCACTGAGCACAGTGTCTTCGAGGGTCATGCAGACTGCGGCATGCATCTGAATTCCCTTCCTTTTTAAGACTGAATAATATTCCATTGCATAAATATACCATACTTTGGTTACCCGTTTATCTGTCAGTGGACATTCTACCTGCCTTTTGGCTATTGTGAGTAATGCTGCTCTGATCATAGGTGTACAGAGATCTCTTTGAGTCCCTTTTACTTGTTTTGGGCGCAAACTCAGGAGACAATTCGTCGTTCTATGTTTAATTTTTTGAGGAACCATCATATTGTTTGCCAGAATAGCTGCTCCATTTTTACATTCCCACCGGCAGTGCATCGGCAGTGCACACGGGTTCTAGTGTCTCCACATCTTTACCAACACTTACTATTTTCTGGGTTTTTCTTGGAGAGGGATAATAGCCATCCTACTGGGCATGAAGTGATAGATTATTATGCTTTTGATTTGCATTTCCCTAATGATTAGTAATGCTGAGCCTCTTTCCATGTCCTTTATTGGCCGGAAGTCTATTCAAGTCCTTTGCCCATTTGTAACTTTAAAATGTTTTTGTTGTCTTATTATTTTACATTTCTTTTAAAAATTGAAATATAATTAACATGCAGTGTTATGTTAGTTTCAGGTACGGAGTATAATGATTCAGCAGTTCTGTACGTTTCTCAGTGCTCATCACTGAGTATACTTTTAATCCCCTTCATCTATTTCTCCCATCCCACCACCCATCTCTGGCAACCACTAGTTTGTTCTCCGTATTTAAGAATTTTTTTGTTTGTTTGTCTCTTTTGTTCTTTGCTCATCTGTTTTGTTCTTAGATTCTACCTGTGAGTGAAATCATATGGTATTTGTCTTTCTCTGACTGATTTATTTCACTTAGCGTTATTCCATCTAGATCCATCCATGTCGTTGCAAATGGCAAGATTTCATTCTTTTTTATGGCTGAGTCATATTCCTCTGTGTGTGTGTGTGTGTGTGTGTGTGTGTGTGTGTGTGTGTGTATCACATCTTTATCCATTCTTTAATCAAGTTATTTGTTTTTGAATTGTAGGAATTCTTTATATATTCTGGCTCTCAATCCCTTCCCACATATATGATTTACAATTATTTTCTCCCATGCCACGGGTTGCCTTTTTACTCTTTTGATAATGTTCTTTGAGGCACAAAGGTTTTTAATTTTGATAAAGTTCAATTCTGTTTTTTCTTTGGTGGCCTATGTTTTTGATATCCTATCTAAGAAATCATTGCTGTATGTAATGTTGTAAAGATTTACCCTGTGTTTTCATCTAAGAATTTTTATAGTTTTAACTCTTATGTTTAGGTCTTTGATCCATTTTGAGTTAAAGTTTATACATTGCATAAGGTAATGGTCTGACTTCATTCTTTTGCAAGTGGCTATCCAGTTTTCCTAACATCTTTTATTGAAAAGACTGTCCATTCCCCATTCAGTGGTCTTGGCAAAGCTTGCTGCTTCATGCAGGAGAAAGCTGTAGGTGTAGTTAGTGTTGGTGATTTTAAACCTTGCCTGGCTAAGTTCTCCTGAAAGGATTAAGGCAGACTGGGAAGTAGTGTTCCTGGTCTTCTCTCTTCAGCTGCTGCCTGTATCTTCCCCCCAGGCTCTGCCCACTCCTTCTACCAGCTAGCTTTAGAGTCTCAGCACATTTCATAAACCTGCTTGATTTAAGGAGAAACCGTACCTACGAGTACTTTCATTTAGAAAGAGAACCAAAGAAAGCACATTCATAGCACAAGGGAATTACTGGTGAATGGGAGAATTTCAGACAATATCAGCCCCAGTCCTAGATGGTGTATGTGTGTGTGTGTGTGTGTGTGTGTGTGTGTGTGTGTGTGGTGTATGGGGGTGGATGGGTGAGTGTGTTCAGTCCTGTCAGTGAACCCTGCCTAGGAAATAGTTAGGCAGTCTCTTATTTCCATATCAGGGCAATGTGGATATCTGATTTTACAATAGCTATAAATGCATAGTTATGGAGAGCACCATAGAAAATGGTCCATATATACATCAAAATGCCTTTTCTTTCCCAAAGGCAATACTTATTGATTACTGAAGTGATAATACGCAAAAATCAGGGAGATGTGAGCTGAGTCATGTTTGTCTTCAAGTTTGTTTTTATACTCGATTAAAAAATATTACCCTTATTTTATTTTCTATTCTTTTTTTAAAAAAAGATTTATTTATTTATTTTAGAGGTGGGCAGGCAGAAGGAGGGGGAGAGAAAGAGAATCTTGAGCAGACACACGGCTGAGTGCAGAGCCTCATGTGGGGCTCGATCTCACCACCCTGTGATCATGACTTGAGCCGAAATCAAGAGTCAATCAACCGACTGAGCCACACAGGCACCCCTTTATTTTCTGTTCTTGTAGAAAAAGAGAGATCTGAGATTGAGGGGGGCAGAAGAAATCCCAGGGTCAAGGTTTTTTAGCATGTGAGAGAGTCTCCCTGGCTGGTCTTTAGAACTCTCTTCCAGCTCTAAGATTGGGGTTCCAGCAGAGTGAGAATCACCAATGGTTGCCCTAATACCCTTTGGCAGGTATTAACACAGCCATGTTCCTGTGAGTTTTATAATCTTCTGACCTAGAACCCACTGTCAACCAGGGTGGGCAGGTTATGCTGCTAAATCAAACAGCCCCCAAGTTTCAGTGGCTTAAAACCACAAAGGTTTATTTATCACACATGCAACAAGCCTACAAAGCCCATGATGGTTTGGCAGACAATCAGGAACCCAGACTGAAGGAGCAGACATTATCTCAAATGTTGTTGGTTGTCATACCAGAAGGAGACATGTTTTAGAGTGTCTCGCTTGGCTATTGAAACTTTGTGTACAAGAGACACACATACATCCCATGGACTAGAAAAAGTCCTATAACTGCACCCACCCACAGTGGGGCCACGATGTGTAATTCCACCGTTTGCTCAGAGTCGGGGAACTGGACATACTCGGTGAACAGCACTAATTACCACCACCCCACCATGTGGGGATGCCACACCACACGGAGAATGTGAGTGGTGATCAAGTTATTCCCCACCCATCAGTCTTTTGAGTTATTTTCACGGACTGTCTTGCCCACGGGGAATTACCAGATCAATAATGTGAACAGGTTTGGAACTCTTGATATGTGTAGTAAGTTTGGTTTCCGGAGATATTGCCTGAATTTACGGGTTTTCCCAGAGCCTTCCTTGGCTTCTAACTTTGGTTTGACCTCTTAGTAGCTCTACAGCCTTAGGAAATGACTTCATTTCTGCATACCTAATTTTCCTCATCTAAAAATGATATAATAATAATTCCTACCTTGTAGGGTTGGAGAATAAATAAAATAACATATATAGAGCACCTAGTACAGGCCTCTTCCGGCTGGTACAATGACTCTTTTCAGGTATGCGCCGTTCTTTAGACTTGTCCTTATTTGCCTTTCTTTGACTTACAGTGAAATATGTACTTTTCAAGGTGATAGTTAGCTTTCTGCATTTCTTTGTGCCTAAAATGTTTGTTCAGCTTTTTCCTTTTTTTTTTAGCCAGACATGAAATATCATATTAGATATTGGTTTTATCTATTTGAATTAATTCTTTTTACTTTCAGGTAGTAAGCTTTTGTCACTTACTTCTCTCACGTATATTTGTCACATTTTGTTCCTTCTTTAGATATAGACTGTTTAACCTTTTGCTGTTCAGTCCTTCCCTGCCCCACCCCGCCCCTCCTTATACAGCACATTCTCACGGTTTCTGTTGATTATGTAGCCAGGGACTTACTTAGCTGAGATGACTATATTTTTATGTTTTTCTGTTTTTTCCCCATGTTTTTATCAGTGTTATGCCTCCGCCCTTTCCCCAGTTCTAAGGTCTTGATAGAATTATGATACTGAGGTTAGAATTAGGTGAACCAAAAAAAAAAAACCCCAAATTAAAAACAAACTTGCCAAGTTCATTTCCCCCATGCAGTATCGCAAAAATATTTAAGAGATCTTACCCAAAGTTCTCCGCAGTTTTCTGAAATTTGGCTTCAGTTGATAGATGATTCCCAGAATTTAATGGGATTGGGGAAATTATTCTCAATTTCATTTAGCATTGCTGTTATTTTGCCTTATCATTTATTATGCTTTTTTCCCTTGACTTCAGAAATGCCTCTTACTGTGATGAAATGTCCGTTGAGCTCAGGGTTTTTGAGAAGACAGAAGCTTCCCTGCCTTTCATATCGTACCCGCAAATTCTAACCTTGTCAACCTCTGGGTCCTTAGTTTGCCCTGAGCTGAGTGAATTCACCCATAACAAAATGGACGTGAAGATTCAGTGGTACAAGGTACATCTTTAAAAAATTGCTACTTTAATTAAAACGTGTCTTTACTAGCCACAGGAAAGATATAAAATACCCATTCTGAAGGCAACACATTCACTTTTATATTTCTGTTTTTTTTTTTTTCAACTAGTTATTTTAAAAAGGGGCGTGGGGCGCCTGGGTGGCTCAGTTGGTTAAGCGACTGCCTTCGGCTCCGGTCATGATCCTGGAGTCCCAGAATCAAGTCCCGCATCGGGCTCCCTGCTCAGCGGGGAGTCTGCTTCTCCCTCTGACCCTCCTCCCTCTCATGCTCTCTATCTCTCATTCTCTCTCTCTCTCAAATAAATAAATAAAATCTTTAAAAAAAGGGGGGGGCGTGATTAATATGTTCTGTTCATCTGTGTGTGGCTTGGGTAAGGGTCCTCAGAGTAGAATTTTGAGAAACCAGAATTCAAAATGAATGCAGAGTAAGTGACAGCTGAAGAAAATAGCTTTTCACACTGTCATTTGTCTATAGAAATGTAGGGAAAAAAATAAATGTAGAGAAAACTACTGGTTTAGTTAACATCTGTGTACACATTTTAATGACCTTTTTATTTTATTTATTTTATTTTTGTTAAAGATTTTATTTATTTATTTGAGAGAGAAAGAGAATGAGAGATAGAGAGCAGGAGAGGGAAGAGGGTCAGAGGGAGAAGCAGACTCCCCGCTGAGCAGGGAGCCCGATGCGGGACTCGATCCCGGGACTCCAGGATCATGACCTGAGCCGAAGGCAGTCGCTTAGCCAACTGAGCCACCCACGTGCCCCTTAATGAAGCCTTTTTAAAGCACATGATAATTAACTTTCGGGCTAAAGGAGTAAATATAAACAATTTGTTTTCTTGACTGATTGAATAAATACTATCATAGATCACTTGTGTAGAGCAGGTGTGGGCAAACTATAGCTTATAACCAGTGGCCAAATTGACCTGCCACCTGCCCGACAGCTCAGGATAGTTTTCACTTTTTTAAATGGTTAAAAAAAATTAAAAGAGGGGCGCCTGGGTGGCTCAGTCTGTTGAGCGTCCGACTCTTGGTTTTGGCTCAGGTCATGAGATCGAGGTCCACGTTGGGCTCTGTGCTCAGTAGGGAGTCTGTTTGAAGTTTCTTTCCCTCTGTTCCTCTCCCCTGAGCGCACGCTTGCTCTCTCTGTCCCTCTTTCTAAAAGAAATAAATCTTTAAAAAAAATTAGGGGTGCCTGGGTGGCTCAGTCAGTTAAGCGTCTACCCTTGGGTCAGGTCATGATCCCAGGGTCCTGGGATCAAGCCCTGTGGGCTCCCTGCTCAGCAGGAAGCCTGCTGCTCCCCCTGCCTGTTCTCTCTCTGTGTCAAATAAATAAATAAATAAATAAAATCTTAAAAAAATATTAAAAGAAGACTAGTATTTCATGATATGTGAAAAAGATATAAAATTCAAATTTCAGTGTCCATAAATACAGTTTTACTGGGGCATGGCCATGCTGTTTCTGTGGTCTCATACTGCAAGGGCCAAATTGAGTAGCTCTTTAAACTTAGCAGAGGACAGAGGCCATATGGACTATAGGCCTTAAATATTTACTGTCTGGCCCTTAACAGGAAAAATTTGCAGACCCCTCATATAGACAGACCATAGACTGATACTGAAAAGTACAGTTAATTGTTTAAAATTTGATAGAAATGAATCCTTTAATCAAGAAAAGGTCAACCAGTTGACTGGTATTATAGCTACAAGATACATATAGGATACCAGTGCTAATCATTACTGAGCAGGTACTGTGTATAATTCTGCTCTAGATTCCCTGGCATATAACCTAACAAAGTAGGGATTGTTAATATCTCCATTTTACAGGTTAGGAAACAGAGAGACAGAAATGTAAGGCACTTGCCCAAGGTCACACAGCTGGTAGATGGGGAAGCCAGAACTCCAGCACGGGAGGCCAGGCTCCACACACCACTGCCATGCAGGGAGCCCTGGGGGTTTGGGGGCCTTGGAAGAACTGGGGTGCTGAGCCCCGTTTGGCTTTTTTTTCATGTTTGGGGACTCATGTTAGGGACAATAAAATCTCTCTTTTTAATTAAATATATTGTAAAATAATACTTTATGAGCCACTAGCTGACAAACTATTCCAGTTTGTCTGTGCTCCCGTTCAGAGCAAGATTCAGAGATGACTTGAAGTTATATTTGACTGTCTCAAGTTTTTGATCATGGTTTTGAAAGATAGGTTCCTGAGAACACATTGTGCTCACTGGGATATTTACTCAAATCCCATTCAACGTTTTCTGTTATTGGAGGCCTTGCTTTTGAGAGTTCTGTGGTGCAGACCCCACAGAATCTTTTGTCCATATGGAAAGTGTGCCCTTGTTCCTCACACTTAGTTTTTTCTTACACATTTTCCTCTGTCTTTACAAACTCCTAAAATTGAAAGGATTTTCAAAGTCATTACTCTAACATCATTTCTTCATTTTTCCTGAATATTACTTTCACCCTGAATATTTCTGAATATTACAGTCAACCTGATGACATACTACTACTCTTCCCTCCATGTTTCCCAAGGTGGTAATGGCTTTGTTTATCAAATAAGAGATAGTTTCTTTTTTTTCCCCGTTGTGCTTACACAGATGTGCTATAAACATTGTGGTTAAACAAATCCTACAATTTCGTTTTATCTGTTAACAAATTCCCTCTGTTAAAAAATACAGTTAGTGGTATGTCCAAAGTCCATTCGCCAAGTAAATACCAGGGCAATTCTTGGGTTGCTTATTCAACATTGATTGATAATATGGGTGATATTCATATATAGCTTTTGAGATATAAATTAGTACATAGCATAACTCTGAAAAGTATTTTCCCTTAAGGATTCTGTCCTTTTGGATCAAGACAACGAGAAGTTTCTAAGTGTGAGGGGAACCTCTCGCTTAATCATCCAGAATGTGTCTGTGGAGGATGCGGGTTATTACACTTGTGCCATGACATTCACCCATGAAGGCATGCCGTACAACGTGACTAGGAATATTGAACTACGTGTCAACAGTGAGTACTTGCCACTGAGGGATCTCCCCACCCTGCCAATAACAAGCATGCAAAGAACAAATGAGGATTCACGTAGAATTCCTTGAATGTCTTTGGTATGAAAGGAAAACAGACCTATCAACTTGCCTAAAGCATCAGGCTAATGAGACATGTGTGTGAAGCTTTGAAAGATAGAAAACGGGGTGTTTTTATGAGGAAAGGTGAATCGCTGGGTAGTTGATACAGTTCCAAGTGTGGCTAAAACACACCAGCAGAGGGGGACAAACAGTGGTTCGCTGGGAAGGTCCCTTTGGAAGGCTTGCACCTCCAGGGCCAGCCATCAGAACATGGTTGTCATAACTTTATGTATAATTCTAGGATATTAAGATTTTATTGGATTTTTCAGTTAGAAGGCTATGCATTGACATAGCCAGTGGAAATTCCCCTTTCTCGGGCTTCCCCAAGGCACGTGGCCCTTGAAATCAGAATTTCAAGGTGTGAGTGCTCTCATTGGCTTAAATGAGTTCTACTTGAAAATAGTGTTGTGAACAGTGTTGATGAGTATTTAAAATTACTTAGCATTTACTGCCTACATGCTGGACATCAAGTTTAATGCAAGGAACAGAAAAGTGTTTGAGTCCTGGACTCTGCCCTAAAGAGTATGCTGCTTTTCTTTATTTTATATACTGATTACACATTTGGAGTTTTTTTAGGGCATTTCAGAGGGCTTTTGGAAATATATTAAGGTTAAATAATTGGTCCATGAAGGGAGAAGTTTAACTTTTTTTCCCCTCCCAGAGAAAATCCAGAGATTCAGTTTTACCACAGGGAAAATTGTGTCTCCCATGGGCTGAAATCTCTAGATTACGTAGTCTTGTGAGGATTCATTCATATCAACTCCTTGTTCCCCGGCGGGGGATTCACGGGGACTTCCGGTGACTTTCAAAGGGTTCAGAATTATCCTGGCCATGTGATACTGCACAGGAACACTAGGGGGCGACCAGCCCACATATTACCCCGGCTTGTGATCACACTTGTTTTCTCAGGACTTCTCAAAGGGTGGTCTAGCACTTGGGTGCTCACTAGACTTGCAGAATCTCAGTCTCCATCCAGACCTACTGGGTTAGAAACGGGACCACTGCAATCTGTGTTTAACACCTCCCCCCCCCCCGTGATGCTGATGCACCCTCAGATTTGTGAGGCACAGAGGTATTTAGCCCCTGAGGCTTTTTTTTCCTTGCCCCTCCATTGTCCCAGCCTCTGCGCGGCAGGCATGTGATTATGTGTGTTGGTGGGGGGGCGATTGAGGGGAGGCTCCTCGTCTTGGTCCAGAAGCCATGTGCCCCTCCACTGTGAGTGACGCTGCCTAATGCTTACTCATGTTAGGATTTCAAAATGCTCTGCAGGGAAGACGTAAGGATGGAGCGAGTGATCATGGAGATGGGCAGCCCTTTGCCCACCCCAGCCATGCTTTTTGCTCCAATTCAGGTGCCCACTTTCTTCAAGCTGTTGGGAGACCTGCCTCTTGGGGAGCTGGGTTCCTATTCAGAGGTCCACCTCTATCTGCCTCCCAAAGCAGTTTATGTTCTCCATTAACAAGACATATTAGCCAATGCTGGGTTATGCTCTTTATCACTCAGTGTGGGATTCGCAGTATAAACAGGTGGTTCCCAAATTCCTGTGTCTTTATTTATGTTTTTGAAGTGACTCTGCAGTATTCTGTGGCAGGCACTCGGGGAAGCAGGAATGGAGAAGAGGGGGAGATTTTAGGGCAAATAGACATTGGGATAAAGCCTATCTTGTGGGAATTGTGAACATTACTATTAAGAATTCATTCAGGAAGCCGGGGAAGGGAATGGTTAATTATTTATCACAGAGCAAAGAACATCTGTTAGTGGAATGTGTATTTTAACTGTGGTCTCTTCCAGTAATATCTCTTCTGGGAAAGGCATTGGCCAAAGATGCTCAATTTTGTGGAGAGCCTGTTTCCTTTGCCAGACAAAGGTCGAATCTTACAATGGCTGGCCATACTGTAGAGGATAACTTTGTTAATTAGCTAAACAATGGAACTTGAGTCTCAGCTTGAAATGATGGCTTCCCTAATTGAATCTCTTTTCCTCATATCCTTCTCAGAAAAAGAAGAGGAGACAATTCCTGTAATTATCTCCCCCCACCAGACCATATTAGCTTCACTGGGTAAGGCCTACAAGGACTGTGTCATGCACAGGGATACCTTCAGTTCCAAAGCCCTGGGGTCCCCTGTCCCTGGGGTGTGCAGTGTGCCTGGGTGGGACCCTGGAACCCCGGCGTGAGAGGCAGAAACAACATCTTTCCTTTTGTTAGATGTTAGAAATGGCATTGTGTGAAAATAGGTATACTTTGTTCCATGAACACCTGCCCTGCAAAAATCTAAATGTAAAAATCCCAGTGTTCTGGTGGCAGTTATCAACCGTGTGAGAGGATTAACAGCATGATTCCCTTGTGTGGCCAGTACCTGCAGTATGTTTTAAATAAGTCTCTCTACCAAAACTTGGCTGATGCATAGCATTTCCCTAAGAGTCCATCTGTAACGTGAGGCTGACCCTGTCATGGCTGGCCCCACAGAGATGGTCTCTTGTTGCCGAAATGGCTGCTCGGCGGGTCAAGGTGGATGATGAGAGTGGCTGACAGGGTTTTGCATTTTTCACCCCATTTGTGGCTGTGGCTTGGGCTGTCCTGGCCAGTGCCCACTTCCCTGTTGACTGCCACCGCGTCTCACGGGATGCCGCTCAGTGCCAACACCGACCCCGTAGGGGTCCTTCTGTAGAAGGAAAAGCTGCTCAGGGCGTCAGTGTGGCTCACTGAAGGTCAAAAGCCACGCTCGAGTCAGGGTGGGCTTCGGACAGGCCTTGTGTGTCCGTGAAGCCTGTGCCATTTTGGTGTTTGTTTCCCTATAATGGTTTTGTAGGCCTCGTCCTCCCTCCGTCCCTTCCTTCCCATCCATACATCCAGCTCTCCTCTGTTCTGTGCTGGGCTTATATTTAAATTTTAGTTGGTGGCCATAGAGAAGGGGGACTTTTGTGCAGACGCTGGGATTGCTGCCTCGGCCCTTGGAACAACCACCTGGAAACCTGAGGAAGTGAGGACAAGGGTGGGTGCTGCCTGGGATTCCGGTACCCTGGCTCCCCGGCGTTCCCCAGCCGAGTAGAGCTGTTTCCCACCCCATTGCCTTGAAGGCATTCATGTGCATGGCAGAATCACATGAGGCCAGATTTAATGGGTTGCTTTTGGCCAAGAAATCTTAAGGTTGTAAGAGGCGGTGAGGGAGGGAGACGAGCCTGAAGGGGGGCCGTACATTAAAAGACCCACCACATGGAGGCATATCGCCCATGAGGAAGAAACAAATGGGAAGGATTTGTTCATTTTTTTTTCCTTTCCTCCCCTTTGGTGATTTAAAAAAAATATATAACTTCTAGTGACTGAGGGGGAGGACCCAGTACCATCACACCAAACAATTGCAGAAGATACCATGCATATAAAATTCAGTGGCTTTTTTTAAAGAGTTAATCCCAAAAGAGCATGATGTGCGACTGGGGGGTTCCTGGGGGAAACACGAGGGCTGAGACCAGCGATGGGCAAAGAGAAAGAATCCAAATGTTCATGTGACTTTTTGAGGTACTTAGAATAAAGTGTGGGAGAAGGCATCCATGAGTTCAGAAGGCCCTGTAGGAGCTGAGGGGCCTTGGGGAAGCCATGTGCCCTCAGGGTTTTCATCTCTCACGAAGACCAGTTGAGGGAACTGGAGACGGTTGATAAATACTGGTGTTCTATGTGAATGGAATCATTTGAGGGAACTGAGTTTCCTTCTGAGGTAAGAATTGGCTGGCGAGGGGTGTTTGAGAAGGTGGGGAAGGGTCCACCACTTGGATTTGCTGGTGGACACAGGGGCTGGCGTGACCCCTTTTCCCTGGCTGGGTTCTGACGTTTGATGTGCGGTGTCTTGCCCTGCACAGGATCAAGATTGACAATCCCGTGTAAGGTGTTTCTGGGAGCCGGGACACAGTCGACCACCATGCTCTGGTGGATGGCCAACAACACCAGAATAGAGAATGCCTACCAGGGAGGCCGTGTGACCGAGGGGCAGCGCCAGTAAGTGGGTGAAGATGGTGAAGATCTTTGTCAGCTGAGAAGCATCTTATGGGACTTCCGAGGGCTTTGCTCTTCCTTTTAGAGACAATGTCATACCAGACCTATTCGTATGACACACACACTCCATTAAAAATAATTTTTTTAATTGTAAACTGTTGGATTTTTAGAATTTTATTTTATTTTTTTTAAAGATTTATTTATTCATTTTAGAGAGAGAGAGAAAGAGAGCACGAGCCAGGAGAGGGGTGGAGGAAGAGGGAGAGAGAATCTCCAGCAGACTCTATGCTGAGCACAGAGCCCAACGCAGGGCTCCATCCCACGACCCTGAGATCATAACCCGAGCTGAAATCAAGAGTCAGACACTTAACTGACTGAGCCACCCAGATGCCGCAGATTTTTAGGATTTTTAAAATTGAGTTTTGCTAAGTCTTATCAGTTGTTCTTGAGAATCAAACTTCCTGTAGGAGCTGGGCTACAGTCAACTACTTGGCATTGATGTTGCATTTTCTAGCTGTTTCCTTAAACATTTGTTTCTTGACTTTTGAAGTTTAAAAAAAAAATACTTTGGAGTTCATACATTTCCATGCTGTACCCTGCACCTGGGTGTCAAACATTTTCGCACACCCTTCAAAAGAGTCTGAAAGCCACAGTATCTGAGGGTGGCCACAGGCGCTAAGGAAGGTTAATGTTAAAGGAAGAATTCTGTTCTCATAAGCATTCATCTCTGGAAAATGTTTTCTCACCCCAAAAGTAGAACAGTCAGACCTTGTAAATGTGAGCCATTTGTATTTGAGGAAAGGAGACCGACCATTCGATGTTCCAAATTATCAAGGATTTTTAAAATTCAAGTTCCAGTACAATGAATTAGCCTCAACTTCTGCTTGCCAGTTTTTGTCTTTTTTCAAAGACCTATCAAAAAAGTCTTTCTGGATGTACTGTAGTGGATCAAAATTATATGTGGTTAGCACAACTGCTTGCTTGCAAAGTCCTTGTTGGGAAAAGCTTGGCATCACTCACATGCCCCATGTCAGCTTACTCATACTATCTGCACGCTTAAAGGAGACTAACTTCCCAAGGATTAAAAAAAAAAAAAAAGTTCTAGCAGATCCGCATCAGTGATATTTGTATTCATGCTTCTAGGTAGCAGGGAAACATCTTCAGAGTATGATCATATTATAAATGGTGGCAATGCTGGCTAGAACATTCCCTGGCCTGGCCTGTCTGCCGCCCTCGGCCCTGAGCTTGAGTTGCCAGAATGACAGCCGGCTATGGAGATGAGAGGCGGAAACACGGTGGAGGCCAGGGTTCCTGGAAAATCCCTCCTCCTCAGTATGCAAATGATTTATTGGCCTTACAGTCAAGTATCTCCAAGGCAGACATTTCTATTCCTACTACTGACTCTTTGTTCATCAATGGCTTTACAAAATGAATTTTTCCATTATCCAAACGAAACTGGCTCCTGTTAAGTTCTCCTTGTGACAAGCATCCTGTTACAGGGACCAACATCTTCAGTGTCACTGCCACCTTCAGCCTAGAAATTCTCCCAGATAGGGAACCGATATCCTGGCAAGTGCTCCTGACTTTATGAATCCTGAGACCAATTTAAGCACAGCTGATCCTTCTCATTGAGAACGTTTGGGCGTCTCCGTCATAAAGATGGGCTTGCATTTGATACATCAGGTTTAAGTGAATGTTTTCTCACTCAGGGAATACTCAGAGAACAATGAGAACTACATTGAAGTGCCACTGGTTTTTGATCCAGTCATAAGAGAGGATTTGAACACGGATTTTAAATGCCTTGTCCGTAACACACTGAGTTTTCAGACGCTCCGTACCACGGTCAAAGAAGGTATGTATTTGGGGAACATTCCAGGGGAAAGCAGCATGGCCAGTGTTCTGTGGATGCCGGGCAAAGCTACTAGTTCTCCAGATGATTGCTTAGGGAGTCCTCCGTTTCCTGTTAGTGGAGCACCCACAGCAGAGCTCTCATTTTTTATGATTTGTTTTTTTGGCGGGTGGGAGCTGGCTTTGGGAGATTATGTTCAAGGAAAAATTTAAGTAGCAAGCTGACTTTTGGAAAAAAAGATAAGATGGTTCTGCGATAAACTTAAAAAAATCCTGTGTCCTCGCGTGGTTCTGCCCCCGGATCCACAGGACTAGCTGTTTTCTCCTGACACCTCGAGGAGGGTGGGGCGGTCTTTAGCCCGAAATTGAGGAACTTCCTTCTCCGAGAGCTGGGCACTGGCAGATCTGCAGGGCTCAGGGCAGCTTTAGGGTTGAAGTCATCAGTACCCAGGAAATAAAGCACAAGACTGTAGTCAAATCAACCCAGTGCCCATTTAAGAAGAAAAGAGAAACCCATGCTATCATTTGGACCAAACTGATTTCTTCCCAGCGTTTAAGCGCGGAGCGGGGGAGTGAAAGACAGGTAACGCAGAGATCGTTGACAGCCAGAGGGGACAAGGCAGAAGCCAAAGTGATCTCCAGCTGCAGTCTTCTTATGCCTTCTGGGCAGTCTGTAGCAATCCAACAAATTGCTCCACATTCTCTGTGTTTGCTGGGAAGGCAGCTGCAGACGTACTTGTAATTGAAAAGCTGAGGATTTGGTTAAGCCCCGGGGCAGAGCATGACACATACAACTTTTCTCCAGTTGTGGTCTGAGCACCGCCAGCATTGCCCACTTGGGCCACTAGTTGAAAACACAGAGCCCTGGGCTCACCCCAGATCTACCCAAATTCTTCTAAGGTAATTTGGCAGGCTCCTTTCCTATTCAAGTTTGAGAACCACTGTCCTAGGACATATATGCAAAGGCTGGTGCTTTAGGTCATTCCCATGAAAGAGTCAGTAGTTGTCCAGACTTGGAAAGGAAGGGTCCCACAGGAAGCAGAACCCTCTTCTGGGGTTCAGATTGTGACCCAAAGGAACCTGTGGTTTGTCTGGGCCCGGAGCTGGGAACCCTTAAACATTTCTATAACATGAGCTGTCTCCCGGCATGTCCTTTGCTGGGTTGGCCATGACTCATGGCCGAGGGCACAGCTAAAAGCCTGTCCCCAGCATGGAGAGGTACGTCCAGATGGCTGCTCAGCAAATTAAAGCTTGACCCATTTCTAAGCCTTGTGGGATGTTAAGGTAGAAGAATCATCTGGAGAAATAGTCTGAGATTGAGTTGATTCCCGGAGGCCCAGATGATGATAAACAGTAGTTTTAAAATGTGGAACTTTGGCCTCATCATCAGTGAGTCCCCGAACACTCATGTTCTTGTGTCTGCTTGTTATGTCTTTATTCATACTCTCCACATTCTCGTGACACACAGATGCCAAGGAGTAGAATATAAAATAGCTGGGTCCAAGCAATAATCTTGACCCCTAAAGCTCCTTTATTCAAGTTGGTTTTCTTGTCCTGTGTCAGTCTCTGTCATCCTCCTGACATTCATGCTCTTCAGAAGAGGACACGCTGGACCTTGGCCACGTCCCAGTTGGCTGGTTGAGATTTGAACAGATAATGTCTTATTGCACGCTCTTCAACAGGTGGAGCAGAGACCCTTGCCACCTCGCCCCACTCTGTGTTCTTTCTCTCTGATGGATGTTCATTCTACCTGGCTTGTTCCCTAATACCGCAGATGTCCTTCTCAAATATCCTTGATCTGATGCGAGGGGCATGCTTTCTGAAAAGTCAGTGCATAATTATTGGAAAAAATGAACTCCAGTTCCTGTCTTCTCTATAAACATGCACTGCACTGTCCTGCTTGGCAGTGAGAGAATGTTCCTTCCACCCATGATGTGACTCTGTTCTTCCTACAGCTACCACATTCTCCTGGGGGACCATGCTGGCCCCCCTCTCCCTGATCTGCTTGGTTTTGGTGGGAATATGGATGCACAGACGGTGTAAACACAGAACTGGAAAAGCACATGGTTTGATCACGTTAAAGACTGGCCATTAAGATTTTCAATCTTACTCAAGTGAAATAAAGACAATAAAACGATTAAGAGACAAACGATATCCTTTTTTATGGACCTGACTTGGCCTTTGTGAGGATTCTGCTCTTCCTCAGTTGGTTTAACGAGCTGCTGTGTTTATGGTAAAGGACTCAAGTATGAATGTGATGTTTATTCTGAAACCAAGTGACAGTAGCAAGCGTGCATGTGGGTGGGAGAGTAGCTCTTGGACACTTGTGACCTATTTAGAAGAGTGAGGTGGAGTCGAAAACATCTAAAGAGTTTTATAGTTCATTCATTCATCATTTAACAAAAATGTATTAAAAAGCTATGTTGGCCCTGCTCCGTGGAAGGTGTTAATAGATAACAAAAAGAAGATGTCGGTTGCCTTTTGGGGAAGATGGAATTTCATTTTGAGACTAGAAATAGGGATTCCGAAATGCGAAAGAAGGAGCATCAGCAAAAATTGGTGAATTCTTTTCAAAGGGAAGTGCCAAAAAATAGCAATTAAAATAAAGTAGACTGTGAGAAAGATACATGTTAGGACATTTTAGTGACCTGAGAAATAGACTCAGCTTCATAACAAAGCTTCTGAAAATAAGGAGGACGGCAAGGTATTGGGATAACTGCATATACATTGGAAAAAAATAATCAGAACCTCTTTTATATCATATATCCATTCCCCTCTCCCCCCCCAGTCCCTTAAAGTTAACTTAATAAATTCAATTTAAAAAAACCAGATTGCAGAACAATTAGCATGACTCACTCCTTCACTTGAGTTCAAGTCTTTGTTCAAGTGAACTTCCCAGAGGCACTTCTGAATGGCACTTCTTTCCATCCCTTCTCTTTTTCTCCCTCTGCTTTGTGTTGTTATAGATCTTATCACCACCAGACCTTCCATTACATATGTACTTGTTTATTTTCAGTTTTCCCCATGGGAATGGCACGAGGACAGAGATGTTATTTTGGTCATGGCTGTATCCCTAATACCTGGAGTCATGCCTGCCGCATACTGAACGTTTAATACACGTTTGTGGAATAGATGAAAATAGGAGGGATTTTCTTGCATTCACTACCAATAAAAGAATCGCCAGAGCACAAGTGGACAGGCTTGATTATGTTACAGTTCCTGCATGACAAAAGAATAAAAGCAGAACATAAAGGAAATTATGTCAGGCGAGCTCAAGGAATTAATATTGACAGCATATGGAGTTACTCAGGACTTAAAGAAAGGCATCCTACCCCTCATGGATGGGGGAACGTGAATAGGGAATTTGTGGAAGGAACACACACAAGGGGACCATGGAAAAATGATCTGTTTCAGTAATAGAGATATAAATTAAAACAATATTGAGATACCCAGGCCCTCACATGCTATCCAGTTTTAAAAGGCAACATCAAGGTCATTTCCAGATGATAACTCCCACATCCTGTAATTCCATTTATAACTTGGTACTGGGAAGCAGAAAGGCAATTTGTATCAAGCCAGGGGGGTGCTGGGTGCAGCTTGCTCCTTGCAAGAGCCAAGGGTGGCATCTCTTCCCAGCTCTGTTCAGTGATGTCATGTTAGAAGCTTAAAATCCACCGTCGTGGGGGTATTGACACCATAGAAACTGGCAAATACCACAGGCCTCCTTCCCCAGCACACTACTACCTGGTCCTAGAGATGCCCGGGAATGCTGCTCCTGGGAATTCATCTTAGACTAATTCAACAACAAAAGATAAATAGATGTATGAAGTATTTCAGCAAAACCTATTACCAGATGATGAACAATTATGCATCAATTGTAAGCTGTAATTAACAAGAAGGCAAGACTGAAATAATTGTAACGTTAAGGAAAAACTGAATAGCGTTTATGCAATTTATATGGTTAAGACAATATTAAAATGCATTGGCAGCTAAAAAAAAAGGGGAAAAACTCAAGGGTTTTGAAGACAGACTTCTCGGGTTCAATTCACTCTCTACCACGTGGTGCCTCTGATCCTAGTCGAGGCCTTTAGCCAGGCTGTCAGTCTTCTGATCTGAAGATAGGACTAAGAACAGCAATTATCCTAGAGTGCTATATTTGGTTATCAAAAACATAGGAACAAAATAGTTGTACTGTTTAGGCCACAGGTGGACTGCAGCCTTCTGGCCAAATGCAACCTGCCCTTTGTTTCTGCAAATTAAGTTTTGTGAGCACACAGTTGTTTTGTTCATGGATCACCTAAGGCTCCTTTTGCTCTCTGACGGTGGCGGCGTCGTGCCAAAAAGTCTGAACTGTTTGCTGTCTGGCGCTGTACAGAGAAAGTGCGCTGACCACTGGTTTAGACCAAGGACATTTACAGGCAGTTTTCGAGCCTGACTTTTGTGTTTCCCTGCCGTTCTCTTCTCTTTCCTTCCTTGCCTGTAAGCACGGAAGGAAGGAGAAGGAAATGAGAAGGAGCAGGCAAAGGACTTTTGGCCTCGAATTCGGAACTTTGACCGTGAACGAAGTGGACACAAGGTTTGAGATGCAAGCAGAGGGCTGCTCTGGGTGCTTCTGCCTGTTCTGGATGCTCAGGCTGGGGCGCCATGCAGCTCTCGTTCTCTTCCTTCCTGGGTCCCCTGTTCCAGAGCTCCCCGGAGTTCCCCACCCTCAGGTTCTGGTAGGTCCAGCCGTGACCCAGAAAAGAAGCTGACTGCAGCCAGAAGAGAGCTGCCAACAAGTTTGGAGATCCCCACCTTGCCTGCACGGTCTATGCACTTTCTCCAACCACCGTGCACGAGGGAGGGGGGCGTCTTGCTCTTAGAAAGAACAGGAGACAACCAGGGAATTTTGGACACCAGATTTACTATAATAGCGAGGTGTAAGTATGATATTGGGATTGTGTTACATTTTGAAAGAAGAGTGGTTATATTTCTGACTTCCAGAAATAGTTATGGATGATAGTT